TAGTCATTTCATCGAGAGCCCCATGTTTAAGGTACCTTCACACATCGTTGTTCCAGTTGCAATCGGTATCCCAATTGGATGCCTCGATCGAAATAATCACAATCGATTTTCCGGTTGACCACGCAATACCTTCAGCCAACTGAATCGTAAAACCCTCTTCATATCACCATTAAATAATCACCTGTCGATCTAACCCTAGAAGACCTGATTATTTATACCGATACTTGTCTCTGTGGTGAATTCCTCGGGATCGTATTCCATCATAAAGGAGGGGATGGCAAAATATTATCTGGCATGTCTATATGCAATATCGAAAAATTTCAACTCATGCAATCATGTATGAAATTCAGGCAGGATGCCGCGCAAATAGTCGGAGGAGTCTTCATATGAAAGTTATGTATTTAGATCACATACGGAATATGGGGTTGTTGACCACTCACAAACCACTCCATGTGGAAACGTGATTTTATTGGAATTCATGAGCTCAAATATTGTTGGCTTTCAATATATTCGTGTCTATTCGCTGAGGGAAAACTACTCATGGGGATACAATTGTTTGACGAGAGTACACTATATCATCATTTATATTTTCACGTTCATCCCGAACATCAAATATCAGGGTGAAAAATAGTATTTTATCATTGGGGGATCGATTCAATCCTTTTTTTATTTTTCATCCCAATTTACTTCAATTGAATCAATGACCAACGGATTCAAACTTGCATCACCTGTGATGGCGCAATGATTATATGTAATCAAAATAATCAGAGTAATGATTACGCAATGATATAATGGATAATCTCCATTAATAAGCGTCCACGGATATTAAAATCGGATTTATAATTCTGATAGGCACCTGTCGAGGGGTGGGTATTGCGTAATGCAAGGGGTTTTATGGACCATTCTTGGGGGATAATTAATACGACCCTAGGGAGATATTGAGTGAAAATAGATCGTTCGGGGATAATTATTTGACGTACATATTTCATAATCGAAATAGTTCGCGGAATTAGGCATTAATCGATTTGAAGTGTAATAAACTTGGGAGCAAATACACATTTGCATTACAGAATGCTTCATAATTAAATAGCATTCATATAATTTCAAGCAGACATGCACTCACACAAATTATTGTGGTGCCGTTATAATCCGTCAGAGGGAACAAAGTAGTTAAGTCAACATTCGTTCCGCCGAATATACGTGTATTTACACATGGGAAAATCACATTCACTTGAACTTTTCCGCGTTGTTGTGATCCTGTACGACCACAACAGTGTCCAATACACATTTATCTTTCCTGTTATGTCTTCCTCCATTGAAACATTGGATGTAATTTTTTATCACCTTCAACCCCTCCATCATTCAGGTATGAAAACTCCCCTAGCAACAACTTTCACGTTTTCAGTAATAAATTTTGATGGTTAGACACGTGAATTTTTTCAGCATATTTGAGAAAAGTTTTTCTCGGAAGAGGAGAGACATATGTGAAAAGTTGTATTACAGTGTAAATGCATGATGCATCACTGTTTCAGTTTCGTTTCATTTTGGTTTAATGAGAATTCGACAATTCGCTCGACGAGTGCAGAATTTCATACTCCGGGATATTCAGCGTGCGTAGGATTGCAAATCGGATAAATCAATTTGAAATGATGTTCGTGTTGCAAAGTCGTGGAGATGAAGATTGAGCCCTTTCATTGTTGAAAATTGTGTGTGAAGTATTGAGGGAGATCTGCGAATTGTCAGGTATAATTCATGACGAAAATTCCAGTGTATCCATCCTGGTTTTATTCCTCGTTTTCAATTTCTCGATTCCATCTATTATTTACTCTCTCTTCTCATACGGTATATTGAGATTCAGGGAAAATTGTTGGCTCTCATTTTCACCATTATCCGACACAAAATAGTCTTTGATATTGCTGCATACTTCGACGTTCATAGAAAAAACCTCCATTCACGTTTGAGTCGGGAATTTTTCAGGAGAAAAAAATATTCAGCATGAGACCGAATATGCGCTGCAAGTTTTCGGGGTTTTCAATGTTCCATCGAGAGAAGGTATAGATCTATTGAGACGTTGCAAAAGGTCCAAAAATAATACAATACCCTCCATTTGATTTTTCAATCCGTAAACCCGTGCTAAATCGCAAGCAGAGACCATCGATCTCTCCAAAAATGTCTTCCCGTTTGAAATTTATTTTTTCTATAAAAATTTCCTAAACTAAATTTTATATAATATAAAAAAAATATTCAAAGTATAAGTTATGAATTATTTATAACTAATATTTTAAATATTTGCATTTAATTATTTAAAATCCAATTGAATAATAAAATTATAAAAAAACCATAAATTATGGGTAATTTTAAAAAATATTTAAGATTCTTTGAATATTCAGATTTTAGATATCAAATGATAGACGCGCCATGTACGCTGGTATAAATAAAAAAACAATGTGAATGCTTACAGAAAAGTGGAAAGAATATTTTTAAAATGTCTTGAAAATCAGGCGTAATGTTCATCGGTGGGAATTCGCTGTTGTCGGTGATAATAACGAGAAGAAAAGACGCGAGACAAAATTTACCTCCATACATCCTAGCCATCCACGGGCCAATGCATTCAACTTTCTCGCAAGGCTCTTTTGTGTTGAGTGAATGGTCTTTCTAGCATACTTGGATCCCCAGTGCCACTGGCACTCTCATCACCTCAGGAATCTCGGTGGATTTAGCGATGGCTTGACAGTGATGTCCTCCTTGTTTTTTACCGTACACAACTCTTTCACGTGACAGCAGAAGTATGTTAACAACCGGTGGTATCGACACAATCGTTTGCCCCTTTCCACCCCACTCCCCACAATTCTTTTGTTGCGTTGTTTTGATTTCGTTTTTCCTCCGCCCTTTTTTCCCCGTTAAAATCAAGATCCCCTGGGTTTTCAATGGCACGACAATGGAAATGAAATGTTCACCATTGTTTCTAAAAATCCAGACTGATGTGTCCCCCATAGGCATTACAGTAGCCGTAACAATGATAAAAACGTGGGTCCTTTCTCGAAAGAGTACGATGAAATAGAGCCACTTATGTATATGTATCCCCTGAACACCTTGCTCTTGAATTTTATTTATTCACCGTGAAATACGAGAGTATTTTCAGCAGAAATGACAATTCCATGTGGCGGTGTCATACAAATGTTGCGATATGCATCGGATTTAATGGTGGACATACGCGTGAGAGAGCACTAATGCTGCCCTGAAATGGCTCGAGGATTCTACGTAATTAAGGGTGGATAACAGAGAAAGGGTGAGTGCCTGCGGGAGATATATAAATAGAGTAAATTCAAACCGGTGAAATTTACACGGTTCCATGATTCTTGGATATATCCAACGGTCTCCGTGGTGACACGGGGTTTGTACTTTTATAGCAATCTCTACTCAAACTCTGTGTACGGGGTACAGACCATACACAATGCGTGACTCTACATGACGCGTGGCTTTGACGGCAAATGGTTTGGGCGTAAACTGGACACAGGTGTGGACAGACCAGGGCTACGGACCATTCAGACCACCGGACATTAATGGCATTCAACCATATGTGGATTAGACCAGAATCACTGCACACCAACCTATATATCAGAGAAAAAATTATGTCAAACAATTTAAAATATTATTTCATCCGTTGTTCATGGATGACAAGTCATTAAATATTTTATGATACTTTAGCTTATTGGTTACATCAAAAAGTAATGGTTTCATTTGATTTGAGAATTTTAAATGCATTTGTTGATTTTTTTTTTCCATTTATTGAATTTTTTTTTTTCATTTATTGAATTTTTTTTTTTATTTGTTGAATTTTTTTTTTTCATTTGTTGCATTTTTCCATTTGTTGCATTTTTTTCATTTTTTGGCATTTTTTTTAGCATTGTCCTCGAGTGTCAGCCATTTTTAGGGACTCCAGAGTATTTTATGGGGTGATAAGGGAAATAGGTCAGCCGAATGGGCCCTTGGTATAGTCTATATAACTGTGGATTAGTTGGGTCAGGTGTTGGTAGGAAAATTGCACGCCTAAACCGACTATGGCTTAGTGGCTTTCGGTTTACTGTTGGGATCGGCGAAAGGACTTGCATAAGGCAACTGAATTTCAAAGTCGACTTCATCTTCTGTGAGCGAGAAATTTTACAACTGCGGAGTGAAGTGATTGTTGTTTATATAGCGACTGTTGATAATTAATGGAGGAATAGGGTCAGCCGAATCGGTGTTCATTGAATTTAATGAACACTTCGCTGGGATCTGGGAAATGTTTAAATTTTTCACGCCATAATTTCCTAATGACCTGTCACATGTGAAATCCGTCATTTGTGATACTGAGGGGTTTTTAAATTTTGATACATCTGCAGGCAGTGGAAATAGAAGTATTTGGTGAACCTTTGGGGATGAAGACTCCTGAGGTTACAACTATATTTTGCTGGTGCGCGTAATGAGGTATTTCCCACCGAGAAATGAATATTTACTGGGGAGGGATAGTATGACTCGGGTATATGGTGTGCGGCCATACTGCTTGGCGGCTTACAGTGCTCTACCACTTTGATGCCATACCCAACATAATTTATTAACGCGAGAATAATTTTCGTCGAGACCCGTGGGATACTCCATTAACCGTGCAGCGCATTTACCGGAGTAGAAATTATTTGTCCCTCTGTGCGCAAATAAAAAATCTTTCATACACACCAGCAACTCAAACATTGATTTTCCCTTCCACAGCAATAATAATTAGGGCAACTATTTTTGTTGGAGAATTAATTCTCTCATCGGTGAACAAACTTAACGGTATTGTAGTTAAGTTTTGTAGCGGGAGTGTAAAAAATGTCTATCGTCCTCATCAGGGGGTTGTATTATATGAAAAGCCCGAGCTAGGGTGGAGGCACGTTATTGGTAAATTTTATGCACAACTTTGTGAAAGCTTTTTTAATGATTATTATGGGGGGATGTGAAATTTATGATTCGGATGATTACAGGTCGAGGAAATGTGCTGGATAGCCAAGGACCAGTTTTGAGCTCTGAGCCGAGGTCAACCGTTGAATTTTCTAATGATACTGGAGCAATGCTCCATTGTTCAGCTACTGGAAGTCCTGGACCAAGAATTGACTGGCTCATGGGTGATGGATCACCAGTGCATCCCATTCCCAACATCAGGGAGATGCTCGTCAATGGATCCATGTATTTTCTTCCATTTGGAGCTGAAAGTTATCGGCACGATGTACATTTTGCTGTGTACAGGTGTCAAGCGTCGAATACCGTGGGACGAGTACTCGGACGTGAAGTCAACGTCAAAGCTGGTGAGATTTATCAGAACTGGAGTTTAATTGAAAAAGCAAAATTAAATTTCGTGGACATTTCAGGCGATTTTTAAAGAGAGACCGTATGGAATTGAAAGATATTCCACAAGATCGATATTTATCATAAAATCCTGCCGATTTTTCAGTTAATTTATGATCAAATATTTTTTAACGGATTCTCTTCGTTTGGGTTTATTTTTATTGAATAACTGTGGATTGCAGAATTTATTCCGAAGTTTGATATAAAATTGTTAATAGAGGATTGTAATTGGATTGTGATTAATTCGCGAGTTAAGGATACTACGAGAATAGCTCCAATGCGACTATCAGTGTAAGAGGGACTCCAATTGCGAATTCATAAATGTCCTCATGGCTTTGCCAAAAGCCATTAAGCCCACTTGGCACTTACCGCGGTTAATTACCGATATGGACTGTCTGCCAAGAGGTAGATGGGATTTTACCGTGACCAAGTGTGGCTATTCTCATATTATTTGTTCAATATGCAACGAATTTGTTATCCTTATCTCTCAATAATTGAAGTATCTGTCACTGTAACTCTGTAATATAACTGCAAGCTAAAACGCGGATAAACCGCGAATTTCGTTTGCTAAATTGAGAGCTAGATTTCCAATTAATTTTCAAATCAGCGCGAGTTTGCGTTTGTTGGCCTGATTGACGTATGTGGCATGGAAATACATGTGGATAGCGTGTTTCCATTGTCTAGATCAATCAACTCGGGATTATAAACTCTGGTAAGTGCTCGACTGTAACGCATTCGGCATATTTACTCAAATCTTTTTTTTTTGGGATTTAAAAATATGGAAGTGTCTCTCAATATTGTAAAATGTGTAGGTAATATCTGGGATAATTCTGGGATAATTCTAGGATAATTATGGGATAATTATGGGATAATTCTGGAATAATTCTGGAATAGTTGGAATATTTGAATTCAATGTTTTGTATTAATTATGAGAACAAGTGTGTAATTGTTGAGGGAATGGGTGGACTTGAAAGAGTACTTTTGGAAGTTTTTGAAATTGTGTGATTACAGTGGTTCGTCAGAAGTATCAAGTTGGGGTTAAAGATGCTCATGTACTGGCGGGTAACACTGGTGTTTTGAGATGCGACATACCAGCACACACCAAAGAATATGTTGCGGTTACCTCATGGGTACAAGACTCGGCTTTTAACATTTACCCAGCCCCTGTAAGCGGTGAGTTTACTCAGCACCAAGCACTTCAGTGCTAAACTTTAATTATCCATCATTTACCCTGATACCTCTCAGGTCAATAATTTTGCTACTATTATTTTCTGATTAACAAGTTTGTCTCGTATTTTGTTTGGAAAATTGGAATTACGAAAGTGACAGCGCCCTTTTCATTATTCATACTTATTTTCAAATCACTATGAATTAAACTCTGGATGTTAATTCAGCCTCTGGGGTTTAATGCCTCTCGCCTGGGGTCCACCATGACCCAGTTATTTACGCAGAACTTTGCACTTTTAATTACCGAATATGTTCAATGAAAATGTTGGGGATTAGAGGAACGGTAGTTCGGAATTATTACACGAAATGTTGAAAAGTAATCGAATAATAAATATTTGAATGGAGTGATTTCATTTGATATGCAACAAATATTCGTTTTAATGTAATTAATCGACAAGAGAGCGAGTAGTTTAATAAAATGGAAAAACTCACATCGGAGTTTCCGACAAAATAGCAACAAAATACCAAAAAAAGAAAAGAAAATGCTTTTCAAGGGAAAAAGGAGTACCCGCGGAATATAAAAACGCTGGAGATTGCTAAGCATCACAAGTTGAAGGCAGGGAGTGGAAAAGATAGTAGTATAGAAGTTGTTGGAGCCAGATGTAGGTACCATTCGTTGACGTTTATTCGAGTCGCACGAGCGAGGAAAAGTTGAAGGAAGTCGGGAACAAGCGCAAACGGTAAACCTCCAGAGAGTGATATAGGTGGTGAAAAAAAAAAACCTCCAATGTATCTCTAAGATATATACAGGTAAGTACACGGAGAAAATGTAATTCGATTCATAACTCTGTACGTGCAACTGGAAGAAAAAATAATGCGATTATAAAAATAATAATGGAACAACTGAATTTTTAATGTTATTCCCCTCGACGTTTACGAGGGCATTTGCCGTTCTTTCTGCCCATTATTATATTTTTCCTTTCCCAAATTGGTCCTCTACCTGACTGCATGTATGCCATGGCGGCAACAACAGAGAGCTTTTCCATTAAGAAAATTTGCATATTGATAGAGTCTGGACCCTCATCTACTCGCTTTCTTCCGTCCCCAAGACACACTCTCTCGTTTTGCGTTTCCATTCATCCCTCGGTGATGGTTTATCGACCAAACAATGGACACCATTCTCCACATGATATTCGATTAATTTGGAATATCATTCATGTCGTTTATTTTGAAAATAATCGACTGATCGAGGCGAATGGAATCGACCAATTCGTGTGCTTTGGATTTTCAGATGGAAAATATCATATGCTGCCAACCGGTGAATTACTCGTGTTCTCAGCAACACCAGCGGACACACATTACGGGTACAGATGTCGTACAGTACATCATGTCACTGGAGACACTGTTGAGAGCTCAAGCCATGCTCGGCTCATCGTTACAGGTAAGAATAACACACCTTTACTCATAAATAACATCAGAAAATTTTATCATTACATTTACGGTGTAGGTACCAATGGAGAGTCCAGGATCATCGCTTCAACAATTTTTCCCGCAGTCTTTCACATGATTTATAGTCCCATTTTTATCTCTAGTGACAATAAATATATTTTCTGATAATCTCCAATGATTAATCCCAGAGCATTGGCTGAACAATGAAGGGCTTTATCACTGGAAAATGGGAAAAGCTTACAGTGGTCGTCAATTATTTTTATTTAATCAACAAGATTGAGGTGCTGGGTAAAATATGTTTTGTGGATATTTTTCAGATATTTTTCCATCGGTGACTTGTATTTTCTTGGAAATAGTGACTATAGGGAATTGATCATCTGAGGAATAGCTGGTGTACAATATTCACCGTCGGCATTCCCACCCTCGCAAGGCCCTCTTCTATTTCTAATACCAAATACTTGGCGAATTAAAATAGGTGCGAATGCCCAGAGTATACGACGTAAACTCCATCAAATAATTTTTTAATGCCTGCGGAATTCGTGGAAATGCAGAACGCGGGGAATTCAGGGGAGATATTTTAATGGCTCTGGGTACTGAGATACGAAAATTCAGCGCTCATTGACCTAGGAGCTGACTTATTTAGATTTGAGGGTCGTTGACTTATCACAATATCGATTCTCACCTCGACGTCTCGTCGCTCAACGTAGGGGCATAATTTCATTCTGTCATACCGACGAGATTTTCTGGTATAAAAAAAAAAATGAAAAATCTTTCAACTGAGATCGAAGTATGAATAAATAATATCATAGTTGAAGAATAATTGAACGCCAGGGGGTAGTGAGAATGGGTTTTGTACGAAAAATATTGAGTTACCATGGTTCACCCATTATTCTAGTATGGACACTGGAAAACTGGACAATGTGAAGGTGCGCTTGCGTGGACTGTTGACATAGTGCCTCAGGTGATAGTTTAACTACACGATAGTTATAGCACACGTTTATGTACCCATCGCCCTGCAGGTAGATAATGAGAATCCAAATAATCCCCCTCAGTTGTGCAATATTATTACAAAAGCAGATAACAATTTTCTAAAGAGTTGAAAAACAAGCTCGTCCTGGTGATAAAAAATGTCCAATAATCGATTATCACTTGGGTCTCAACAATAAATCCTCTTTTCCCTTTTATCCATCTCCATAAACAGAAAATGGTTGAGATTGCAGTCAGTCTTTCAGTTAAACGGGAGTACTTTGCATTCACAGAGCCAGAGAGGAAGACGTTTGAAGAACAGGATGCTGTTAGTCTCTTCCTGCAATTTGTCCTGCATATGTTAACGCTCGGCTCACTATTTTTCCACCGAATAATGTTACAATCACAGAGAACGACTCCACTTACACTTTCTCCTCTTTTCCCTGGCATTTTCTCATTCTCTCTCCTCTCCACAACCCAACATATTTCTGGCTAGTTTCCAGACGATCAATACATCATCGGCTCGAATTACAATTATCCGACTAGAAGTACCAAACGTGCCATTGTTCCAAGCAGTTATAAAACGTTATCGACGATAATTGATACGCTCAGCGTTATTTAATCTCTGAATCAGGTGAATATATCGTAATTGCAATATCAGACCACCGAGGGATAAAAAAATAATCATCCACCATTGGTATTGGAAATAAATTCAGCGATGGAATATAAATAATAATGAGAGTCCGTATTCGCTCTTGAAAACATGAAAAATCCGCTGTGAGAGAGACAAAAATAAACAGAAGTAATAAAAAATAATAGATAATGGATATTCACGGTATATTAAACATGGAAAATGGGATTTGAGTCGTAAAGTGGAGCCATGATTATGGCAATAACCCAGGCAAAAATTCTTCTCCATCTGTTATTTAGCTCTGATAAAAAATTTGAATGGAAAATTCATCTAAATTGCTAATGAATCTCTTTATTCGACAGAGCACCGTAATCCGGAACCACCACGGATCAACGAGCGCGTTAACCCATTACCCATTCGTACGGGTGAAACTATTGTATTGTCCTGCATCTCCCAGGGAAATCCACCACCAATGTATCTCTGGTTTCGTGAGTCAGTGGGTGGTACAGACGCTATCGTTAACTCAGAGAGGATTCATGCAAGGGCTGGTGTACTGATCATACAGTCAGCTAGAATCGAAGATGCAGGCCGATACGTTTGTCATGTAAACAACACAGCTGGATCGGAGAGAGTTGAGCTCGAAGTATCGATTATAAGTGGATTGTCTATACACCTGGCACCACAGCAGGTTAATCCATCACTCACACCGACATTTATCTTTCATTATTATCAATTTTTGCTAATTGTGAATTTTTCATGGTGCGTTATTTTTTTTGAAGGTGACAATTGACATCGGAAAAGACGCAAAATTTCAGTGCGCAATAACGGGACAACCGATTCCCACGATATCATGGGCGAAGGATGGGCTTCCGGTTAGGGAAGGCGCCGGGAGGATCAAGGTACTGGGAAATGGCGGCTCAACTCTCCACATATCGTCAATCACGAGGGATGACAAGGGCATGTTCCAGTGTTTTGCCAAAAATGACTATGAGATGGTACAGGCAACTGCTGAACTCCGACTTGGGGGTGAGTTTGATCCATTCATTCTGTCCGGGGATGCTCAATGCGTGGGATAAAGTTGGATGAGCAATTTTGACAAGTTGTACAGAGCAATTAGGTGAAATTCCTAGATGAGTTGTTGGATTGGTCGAGTATCTCGTACACAAGATTTTGCAATGAGGTTGACGAGTGGAGGATGGAGATGGGGTGGAAGGGTCTAGCTAGACACCGGAGGGAGGCAAAAGGAAGTGAAAGGGGTAGACTGATTGGATGGGCAACGACCCAATCGAGCGATCGATGCAGAAGAACCGAGAGACGTGAGACTCAATACCGGCTTTTCCCCATTTTCTATTCGTGAGAACCCGACTGATTCGATGAAAACGGATATACCCCAACCCCTTGTGCTGGATCTTCATTTTTCCGGTGGAAAGAATGGGGAGTCACATGGCTCCTTCTATTTTTTTATTCATCATCTTCATCAGGTATACGTTTTCACGGCCACTTGGTAATACTATATTGCTCGATTAAACACTCGATCTACCATACTTTCAATTTTCCGAGTGTAAGCGCACCGGAAATTTCATCACGTGGCAGATTAAACAGAGTACTCTGTGCTCTATCGCTTGTAGACCAGTACAACATTTGGCTTACAAATATTTCAGTTGCTTGATGACAAACATTTCACGGATTAATCCGTGTCTTCTCCCTCCCACGTATCAAAATCATGATAAATGCTTATCTCGCTGATAGCATACACAAACATGTATCATTTATCTTATTTGTCACATGTCAGGGATTCGACTTCTATATATATCATATTTTTTTTTGTCGGATTTTTTTTTTATCGCTGTTAAAGCTCCGGGTAAGCTGAAACTCTCGGGAGACACAAACGAATGGCGTTGACGTGCCTCTACCCTTTAGTCCTATTGCACTCCATTTCTCCAGGCAGGAGTTTGACAGCCGTGAAAATCAATTCTCGATAGAAATGGGAGTTGAGAGGCTTAACTTGTAATTGTTTTCACCAATTGAAAATCACTGCGTGACCTTTCCATTAATTATCACCTACTGGTTGTGATAATGCGATTAATTGAAATTTTCATCAATGCTGGCTGTTGATTTTCATGAAGAAAAAATCCCTGAAATATTCAAATGCATTAACGCAAATGCGTGGAAACGAATGCTGGTAAAGAGAGCTTAATCGCTCCAGTGGAACTGATTTAATAACAAATTGCAGCGATTCATGGTAAAATATAAATGTGATTACGCATGATTGGGGAATGGCCTCAATTGGTAACAACAATATACAACGGTAACGTGGAGTTGGTTAAATCCACCAAGAGCCAACGTGATCCTCACCCCACGGCAAATGCCCTAGCCCTGTTTTACCTCGGCTTCATCCACTCCCCATCAGTCTGCTGTGCTGCGTTATTATTGTCGTTTCTCTAATTTCACGTTAATGCAGTTGACGACACTAGAATTCGAGCATCAAACCACAGATCAATAGTCCAGAGCAAAGCATTGAAGAGGGGGACTATTGGGCCACGGGGCTTGTCATGCAAATGTCATGCAGTAGATACTTCCGTGTCCACTGTGACGATTTTCCAACTCCCCGGAGATCGGATAACCCGGTTTCTGGGGTAAAATTTAACTACTCATCTCCATTGTGTGGTGGCAATGTATTCACGGAAAAGCCAATGTGCCTCAATCAAGAATATTCTCTTTAATTTTACTCTGTACAAGAATATCACACTTGAATTATCTTCTCCGAGAAAATAAATACGATAAATTAAATCTTATCGATGACAATGACAAATTCCCACGTACTTGTGATAATAACGAATAATTGTACATTTTAATGATTTTGACTTTCTGAAGATGCTGCACCCCAACTTGTATATAAATTCATCGAGCAGACGATTCAGCCGGGTCCCTCGGTATCCCTCAAATGCATTGCAACTGGAAATCCTACACCCCATTTCACATGGAGCCTGGACGGATTTCCACTGCCTCAGAATGATAGGTACGTAACCAATAGTAGCGACAAGAGTATCAAGTACAGGTGCGACAGTAGTCTCGTGAATTCTGACTCGCTGAAGTACGATAGATAAAAAAATGGGGACACTCGACGATATGAAGAACCATTTAATACTTCAGGTTTATGATTGGACAGTATGTAACTGTTCACGGGGATGTAATATCCCACGTTAATATCAGCACTGTCAGAGTGGAGGATGGGGGTGAATACCGGTGTACAGCTGTGAATCGTGTATCCAAAGTCCATCACTCTGCCCGTCTAAACATCTACGGTCTGCCCCATGTTCGACCAATGGGCAACTATGCAGCGGTCGCTGGAGAAACCACGATCATCAAGTGTCCTGTGGCTGGTTTTCCAATCGCCAGTATAACGTGGGAAAAGGGTACGTGTCACCAATGAATTTAATTTATTACCTGACACGGAAAATCAACCCAACCGAATTCGACTACCCTACATCATTCCACTCTTTCTCCCTGTTTTCCAATTTAATTTTCCCTCGTTGCGCCACTGTGTCAGTCGTACAGAATTTTTTTATTATCATTACTCAAAAATGTACAGTATCCAATGCTCTCCACTGGACATTGATAGCGAGAAATATAATTCCCCTCCAGATTTTTACCGAGTGCAAATGTATACTAATGAAAGTAGAAATGAAATAAAATTTATCGTAATTGTTGATGAAGTTGGAGGAAGATGAAACAGACGAGAGTAAAGTGCTGGCTAGACTTATCGGCTTTCTTTCCTTTGAGTTTTCTCTGAGCTTTTAAGTAAGAGGGTGGAACTCACTAGGAATGTACTGCTCTAACGCTGAACTTTTGAGAAACTTTTCCGCCCTGACAAGAAAGAGTGAGATTCTGGCCTGGACTGAGCGTTAGCCATCAATGCCGAGCCCCAACTTTTGCGCAACTTTCCTCTGAGAGAATAACCGAGTGCTCCATACAATCCCTCGTGAATCTCACCAGAGATATATATTTATCATGAAACCATGGAGAATATCTGATTTACGATAATATTTCATATTTTTTTGTTCGAACAGACGGCCAAGTACTGCCAACAAGTAGACGACAGGAAGTATCTCCAAATGGTACACTGATTCTTCATAACGTCGACAGTAGTACAGATCGTGGTTCTTACACTTGTACCGCCAGAAATAAACAGGGCCACTACGACTCACAAACAGTCCAGATAGAGGTCAAAGGTGAGGCTTGAGATGAACCAAAAGTGTTTCGTTTGTAATGATATCATTTGAAAAATTCAACAGGCCAGTAGTCGGCGATATCGAAGTAGTGACCACACCCGAGGTCGAACCACAATCCCCTGAATAACTCATTAATGATCAATATTTCAGGCAATCAAGGGTTGCCTCCCTTGTCTCTTTACAGTTGATTTATTCCATACCCTTGGCATGCACCAGAAGATACCACCGAAATGGAGAAAGAACCCTTTAATCGCAGTCCTTGAAACAAGACGTACGATTTCTCTTCAGAAATATATTTCTGTTTCCCATCATTCGTGACGAAAAATATATTATTATTTCCCATCGGGTGAAACCCGTTTGTCACAAAAAATTTTTCCTATTTCGAAGTTAATTTGACCTACGGTATTCTGTACCAGTAAAATTTCCGAGCGTTTCAATGAATTTTTTCCAATTATTCTGTCATTATAAGTGTTCCCAAGGATAACATCCAGTCTCAATTGAATGGAGTAAATAAACAAGTACGTCATCACTCGTATGATTCGTACATAAACACGAGTGGAGGATAAAAAACGTCGGGTTGTTGTCTATTTTACTACTCGTATCTTACGACTCAGCCAGCGGCACTCGTCTATTGTCCCTTGTTATCCATCACTTTTAACATTGGTATTATTATTTTTCATGCTTCATGCATTTTCATTGGATTTTCAGTCCCACCTAGAATCGATCCGTTTAGTTTTCCTACGAATATTCACGCGGGCGCACGAGTTCATGTGACTTGTGTGGTCAGCGAGGGTGATGGCCCAGTAAAGATCACATGGCTGAAGGATGGACATCCCCTGAAACCAAGAGAGGCAACAACCCACCAGATTGACGAATACGATTTGGCACTGAGAATAGCGAGCGCATCACCAATGCACAATGGAAACTACACGTGTCTTGCTAGCAATGATGCTGCCAAGGTGTTTCGTACTGCACCTTTATTGGTCCATGGTACGAATAAATGTGACCCAAACAAAATGCAATCACATGTCCTGTCAACTCTACCATAAAGCAGACACATTGTCTTTATCAAATTCTTTCAATCTTCACCATCAAAGGAAATACGTACACACTTCTACTTTCCTTTCTGCGTACACAAATCCCCTTTTTTTTTCCACTTTTTTTTTTACATGAAAAATTTTCATCTACCTCTGTCCTCTCTCTGTTTTCACATTCTTTTCGGGTCTCATATTCTCACACCAGGGAAAACGCGTCTGGCTTCTGATTCTACATCCCCATCTACATCTGCACCGAGTATCTCACTACAGACGAACAAATCAGGGCAAACGAAAAGAGCGAACTCGCTTCTTTTTTTTATTCACTTCCACGTTATCCCACATGTTCGGCCAGTGGAGCCGCAGGCGATTACGGAAAAATTTTTTCCTTCACCAAAATCAAGAATTTTAGAGTAACGCATTTTTATAATCCTGTTGTCTTTGGTTGTCACACCTGCGGCTGAATTCACAACTCAATTAGCCTGAGCTTCTATTAATTTATCATTTTGTCAGAGTATTCGTCCGTCCTCACGCGAGTTTCATAAATTTTCATTAATTACTTACCATAATGCATTTAATATTTCGTTATGAATTAATGTTTCTGGAACTATCGCGTGGTAAATAGTTTGAATTTGAGGTACAATAATGGGATGGAGCATCATCTCACACCCTTGTCAGCTCAGGAAACGCTTGAATAATTATGATTCGCATTGTTGTCCGTTACATAGACCGAGTGAACAGAGACGAGACACGCAAGGACTGAGAGAACAGCCGCGAATATTCCCCCAACAATACAGAAAAGCCATTCATCGAGTACATCTACTACATACACATGTATACACACGTAATATCACCTTAATACATGGATGGGGCTGTATGTGCGTGACACACCAGATGTCAAGAGAATAGGGATATAGCAGGTTGTATAGGATGCCATGAATTGCATGACAAAAAAACATTCTGCAGACGTTAATGTCGCGTGTATACACGCGCGTCACAAATTTCTCATTTTGTCATGCTCAATTTGCATTGATCCGCTGCTCAAATGATTATTTCCCTCCGGGAGGTTTAATGCGCACTAGCACTCAAGAGTAATTATTATGGTGAACATGAGAGGATGAATTGCCAGTTGGAGAAAGTTTGGCTCTTCAGGGTGCACTCTAATTTCAGAGAATCTAGGACCCGATGAATCGCCGCCGCAGGCATCATCCCCTGAACACGTCTGTGGTAATTCAATTTTAAGGGATGCAATCTCTGGTCGGTCGAACAATTGAGATACAGTCGGTGGAATGCTCCTGAGGTTGTACTTTCAACGTAACTCCTCTATGTCTATCTATTTCTCATCATCTCAACGTCTTCCACTGGAGTCTGGATATTTAACAGAATAAAATCATGTTTCTTACGTTGCAATGCTCACCAGACTGTTCACCAGGAATTCACTGGTTCATCCGTCAAAAAATGAAACCCCACTGTCGATATCAATCTTATATTCATGAGGATTTATTGTTTCTGGGCTTTAGTCTCGATAAAAGCCGAGGCAATGGGATGAATAAGTTTTATGGAGCTTTCTACGATGATTTCTTCAATACTTGGATGCAGTTTTACATCTGATTTTCTCGGAAGGGTATATGAAATCGTAAAAACCTGGATAAATTGGCTGTTCATCCGGATGAAATGGTCCATTCGCTATTGAATTACTTGTTGAAATTATTCAAATTCAAGATTCTCGTGTGCAAGTTGTGAAATTCGATGTTTCTTATTGGATTTACAGTGCCACCTAATATAGCTCCCTTTAGCTTTAACAAGGAATTATCGGAGGGCGTTCGTGCCCAGGTTGCCTGTGTCATTGAAAAGGGAGATCCGCCCTTCACGATAATATGGTTAAAGGATGGTGAACCCATTGGAACCTCATCACCACCTGGTTTTAATAGTGCATCAACAGCCAACTCTCACAAGACTATTGCTGGTCTACGTGTTACCAGTATGGACCAACACTCTAGTACCATCTCAATTGATCGTGTCAATGCAGCTCACGCTGGCAATTATACTTGCGTTGCACGTAACTCTGTTGCCGAGGTTTCATCTACAGCGCAATTAGTCGTTCGTGGTAAATGACAAAGTCTTAACAATTTCAGTCGATGGTGTATTACCATATTACCACGTTTGCACATTTCGGAGCACTTGACTATTTATTATTATCGGTGTTCGTTCAATAATTATTCTCATTTTCATATTTGTTGTTGTTTTTTGAGCAGCCAATATAGACAGCGAGCTGTATCGCACAACGAATTAAGCCAAATATCGCACTTCGCACTTATTACTTGGCGCCAATAACTGCAATATATCATGCAAATTAATTAATAAGTCGTCGTATTTTTGCGAGATAAACGCACATTTTGCAAAGCACATATCAGCACATAAGCACTTTGTCACACGCACAATTACTTGCACCTTATCAACACCGTAATTATTTTTTTTCTTTCAAGTTATTCCCTGCACACACTTTACCGTTAACTGAATTCTAATTATTACCTGCACCTCATTGGTAAGTCTACACGGAATTTTCCACTGTAATCCCATTTCCATTTACTGCTGTAATTACCTTCTATATTTGTTTTTTCAATTATTTGCCATTCATGTAAATGCACACACTTAGAGCACATTTTTATTTCACCGAGATAAAACATTGGGGTTGCAATGGATTCATTAGAGCTCCAAGTTTTTCAATTGTCAGTAGAAGACAATGTCAAGACACACCTGGAGGTGCAGAATTTTGTTGAAAAGAAATCGGTGAAATTGATCGACGGTATTTTGAAGTGGGCCTCCAAGAGTGTTATTTGAGATTGTTTGAAGTGATCGCGTAGATATAGGTCTGAAAATAATGAGAAATCCGTGTGTAGTGCCACCACGATGGGTGATGGAACCCAAAGACGTGCATGCGCCTGAAGGTACATCGAAACTGGTCCTTCACTGTCACGCAGATGGTTTTCCAACACCTGCGGTAACTTGGCGTCGAGGTAGTGGTACAAAGCCGGGAAGTTATCACGATATAACGAGTCACGAGCATGCACAAGAATTGAGAATTCACTCGAACGGTTCACTGGTCTTCGGACGAGTTCAAGAGGACCACGAGGGATACTACTTGTGCGAGGCTGTCAATGGAATTGGCGCTGGTCTCAGCAAAGTTGTCTACTTGACAGTGAATGGTATGATGCTGATGGTGGTAACAATCGGTAAATTTATCTGTACGAAATACGTGTATTGCAGCACCAGCTAGAATCATAGACAAGCACAGAAATCAAACTGCTCGACTAGGATCAAGAGCTTCACTTCGCTGCGAAGCCAGGGGCGATCATCCCCTGAATATCGAGTGGCGTCGGGCTGGCTCGCAATTAGAACCAGCAGCATCTGATTATCGGTACCCAATGCCCCTAATTTTTTCACTAAATACAACACATATGAATGATACAATTGTAAATTGCAATTGCAACTCTAGAATTAAGGGCTCAAACTTTTTAGTTTCACGACTAAATATTACATATTTGTATTGAACTTATGGAATATTCGGTGGGGGTAATTATTGGGGTAATTCTTCAGGTATATGGTGAAAGAAATGAACACCACGGAAGGGGCTGTTAGTATACTTGAGCTGATTAGCACAACGAGAGAAGACAGCGGTATATATTTCTGCACAGTGTCCAATGCTTATGGAGGTGATGAAATGACCCTGCATTTGTATATACAAGGTAACTACGGGGAAATATAAACAAGGGATATAATGTGGGATGTTTGATGTGAAATAATATATTGTCCACCGTCGGAGAAAAACAGGATATTTCAATCCGCGTGTGGATTACTGCCCCCAGCAAACCCCAGGGCGACAAACACGCGGATTTTAATTCTCTGTTGTTTCTCTCTCGGTACACGTATCGTTGACAAAGGGGCGTAAGTGTCACAATGGTGGATTTTTTTTTGTGGGAAGGGCTGGATTTTTTGAGAAATTGTTTTTTAATACGAAAAAAATTTCAGAACCACCGGATTTTCCACGGAATATCGAAGTTCTCAAACGAGAGAGTCGATACATCAAGTTGGGCTGGACTAGCAGCCAAGATGGAAACAGTCCAATAACAAAGTACATAATCGAGCATAAGAAGGACTCGGGTAATTTTATTATGAGTTATTATTAATTGTTGGGTTGTGGTAGCGATAATTTTTGTTCAACTGACGGTATTTGTGGATTTCACAGAAATATGGCATGATCATACATTTTATACTGATGTACCCGGCACTCAGACATACGGCCACGTCAACGGCCTGCGACCAGCAACTACATATCAGTTTCGGGTATTTGCCGAGAACGAATTGGGTCGTAGTCAAGCGAGCGATGTAGGTATATAGATCTAGTCCCCGTAATCCGTAAATAGCACTTTTAAGCTGTCTTATTGATTTTTAATACCACTGAATTAGAGATCGTGACCTTTGGTGTGACTTCAATGGGCAATTAGTTTTTTATATGATTTAATTCAGATTCTTGACGTAACAACGGAGGGGGAAAAACCCGGTGGACCACCGAGAAATCTCAAAGTCGAGGCGGTGAGCTCCACTGAATTGAAAATTTCGTGGGATCCACCGGATCAAGATCTTTGGAACGGGGAAATTTTGGGATATCACGTTGGATTTAAAGAGTATAGGTATGACATTATCAGGCATAAATTCGAATGTATTCTACAATTTCCAAGAGAACGCATTGTGTTTGCGATTGGATAATTAACTGGGCAGTACCATGGGCGAACAATGGATAAATAATCACATTAAATAGCGAAACGCAGTCGAAATCCCGAATATTTCAATAATGAAAATAATTCCCATCATTCCAATAACTCAAATTGAATTCAAATGGAATAACGCTGATGCGATTCATCGGAATACATTCGGAATATTTCTCACGAATTCCATCAAGCCCTATTTTCCATTCCCAGATTATCAGCTGAACAGTACACATACAAGACTGTAGAAGGTCGTCCAATCACTGCCAGTGCAACTCTCGGACTTGCTCGTACTGCCATCCCAGGTCGCCAATGTCAATTGACAGCTTTACGCAAATACACACGCTACAGTATCGTTGTCCAAGCCTATAACGCCCTGGGTCCAGGACCAATGACAGCTGAAAGTGTAGCAACAACCCTAGAAGACGGTAAACACATGATACCTATTCGTTAGCGACATGTCGTAGCCATATACTCTCCCATTGATCTTCAGCCATGAGCTTTATGGACTAGCTCGTCAAAGTTTCCGAAGCAAGTTTCAACGGTTTTTATAGCGTCTCTACTTATCGTAAATGCTCACGAACGAGAATCATAAAGCTCCTCACCAACGTGGCTACGAGGTAGACGAGTAAAACTCTACACTCGCCAGAGGCTACTCCAAAATCACCTACTCACCACCCATTTATGTTTCTAGAATATTTCCCTCATCATTCAGCATATAAATTGTGATAAAAAAAAAATATATCTGACAGTCTCTGACTTGAATTATAAACAATAATTTCCACATTTTAATCAGAAAACATGATGATGGGGCCATTAGCCATCAGCGAATATTTAATTTTACCACTCGGTCAATCTCCCAGTGCAACTGCATATATATAATATTTTTGTTCATTTGAAAAATCACTTAGTCGTCAAATTAAATATGTCATCGTATTTAATTCCCTCTCGGTAGTGGGCCAGTGGAATTCTCATGAATGTGTCATTTGTGATATTTCGCATCCCTAGCTACGAAGGTAAAACGATGAAACGAGAATGAAAATGGAAAATTACGGAGGCTCATTAAAATTTCAATTATAGCCATCATGATATATTTGCGTTACAGTGCCAAGCAGTCCACCTCAGGATATCCGCTGTACAGCGCTCTCATCCCAGTCTCTCCAAGTATCATGGGAGCCACCACCGGATACGAGCCTGAATGGGATACTTCGGGGTTTTAAAGTCGGTTGGGAGAGCATGGATTCATTAACAGAATCCGGTAAACTAGATATTAAAATAACATCAGCCCTGACTGTTGTCATCAGTAGTCTGGAAAAATACACAAATTACTCGATCCAAGTGGCAGCAATGACAAAGCCAGGAGATGGTGTCCAGTCATCGCCAATTTACTGCATGACCAAGGAGGATTTGCCAGAAGTGCCAGCTGGAATAAAAGCCGTAGCGAGTTCCAACGAATCGATAATAGTCTCGTGGTTACCACCACTAAGAGCCAACGGCATAATAACATCATACTACGTGTACTTTCAGAGTCAAGAGGATGATGAAAAGTGGTACAAACAAACATTGAGAGCCCACAAGACATACTATCGTGCGGAAAATCTCCATAAACGTACTCAGTACTCATTTCACGTAGCAGCTGTGACGTCTGTTGGTGAGGGGCCCAAAACACGTTCAGTAAGTGCATCACCCTCGACCCATGTGCATGCTGCTATTCATTCATTTGGAATGAGTGCAACTGTACCATGGAAGCAAGATGTAACATTACCATGTCAAAGTGTTGGCAAACCCTCGTTACTCTGGAAGCAATGGGGACAAATTGTCAAGGCATCTGGAAGGATTTCCATTCATACAGATGGCTCCCTCCACATCTCCGATCTTCATCGGGAGGACAGTGGAAATTACACGTGTCATGTCGAGAATCCTCATGGCTCTGACCAAATAACTCACAAACTCATTGTCCAAGTACCACCAGCAGCTCCACTCCTTCTGGCAACCAGTACAACGAGCAATTCCATAAGTGTTCAATGGAAGCCTGGAGATGATGGTGGTGCTATCATAAGGGGATACATACTCCACTACAAGAGAAAATTTGGCGAGTGGGAGGAAGTTAAAGTGTCGCACAAGATTAATGGACACCATCTCTCGGAATTGTGGTGTGGGACTGAATATCAGATTTATTTAACAGCGTACAATAGAATTGGCATGGGATCACCCAGTGATTTTGTCAAGGCAACAACTAAGGGCTCCAAACCAGCTAATTCACCTGGAAATGCTGAAAAATTTATAACGCTCAATGTATCATGGATCATTCTTCATCTTAATATTTGGAATGATGGCGGCTGTCCTATCACTTGGTTCGAGCTTGAGTATAGAAGACACTCCGAGGAATACTGGACATTAGTTTCAAATAATATCGAGGTAATTCATTATTCAAATCGAACTAATAAATCCCTCCCAATTTATCCAATTTTTATGTATTAAAAATTCAGATGTGAATATGTGAATAGAATGAATTTTCATTTCATGCCAATTTGCGAGCCACAGAGAAATGAAAAAATATTCTAAATAACAAATTTCAACGTATTCAGAGGATGCGAATCACCAGACGAAATTCACTCGATAAACTATAGAGATAAAAAGAAATGAATGGAATGCGCAATGAATGTCAAGTGGAGGTGGAATAAAAGCTCAATAGAATTTGTTATAGTATGCGTCAGGCGTTTCTGTTGATTTTTATACAATCATACAATATGAAATTGCAGGTTCAAAAGTCATACACTCTGAGTGATCTTCAATCAGGAACAACCTACGATATTCGCATAAGAGCTCATAATAATGCGGGCTCATCAGTGGCTGAGTACAAGATAACAACACTTCAACCACATATCACAACAACACTCCCCAGTGGCATAGAGATAGATCAGTATATACCCCAAAATAATTCCGTATTGGCTGACCTCAAACTTATCGTTCCACTGATACTTTGCTCATTTGCCATAATTGCGGCAGCCGGTGCAGTATTTTACTGCTTCCGTAAACGTCCATTATTAGGCGATATTGGTAGTCTCCATGATGCTCAAAATGCTGCCGCATTGGACAATAAACAGAATATGGAGCAACGAGAGCAGTATTATGCTACTGTACGAAAACCTCTGCGATCACCTATCCACGAAATGGCGACGCTTGAGAGAATTCCAGGTGTGTTTCAAGTTCATTCATTAAATTATTTATATGTATTCAGTGAAATATTCTTCAATCACTCTTTCAATTTTCACTGGTAGAATTTTCCGAAGACATCTACCCCTACGCAACGTTCCAGTTAAAAGAGAGTGTACCTCCTGGAGGTGACAGTCGATGCGATTCAGCTGCACCTCTTCAAACCTTCGTGTATCATGATCCACGACTGTCCACTGCTGATACACTGCAATTGCGCGAGGTAAAAATGCCCATTGAATTGTTTTAAAATAAATAGAAAGAGTAATAACGTTATTGATTCCTCTCTGTCTATCACATGGTACAGAATCACCTAGACTATGCACCACTGGCACTTTTCATACTCGCATGCTCGTGCAACTCCTAGATCCCGAACACTTTCATTATCGTCCTCACAATCATATTCATCTCGTTCAATCTCGTCTAGTTGCTCCATTTTATTTCGATAGAAGACGTCTTGTGTCATGTGTTGAAGAGCAACACAGATCCAAGTGACTAGTTCATTATCTCACACGACTGCTGGTCCCTTTAATTCGTTTCGCAGCATAAAACATCAATCGAACAAATAAAAGTTATCAAGTATTGTCAATAAAGACACATGGATTATAACAGAGAGAGGACGGATAATTCCACGATCATGTGAACTTGCTCCGTTAATTAAATCCAAAGAAATTATGCTGAAAAAAAAACAAATTCCGTCTGATTGCAGTCGGATTGCAACCGGTACACTAAGGTGCGCGGAGGCCGTTCGTCCTCAGCGCCATTGCATAAAACTCACAAGACCAATCACGGAAAGTCCGAGTCGGAGGAATACGACACCCTGGGCTCGGACAGCGACACGGAAGTCGGGACCAGCAGCCGAACTGAGTCTTCCAATCACCTCGTCGATTCGCATCACTCGGCATTTACAGCCGACGCGCGTGTCCACAGTGCGCCACTCTCCTTTTTTCTCACATTCTGTCTTTTTTTTTTGTCAATACTCATTTTTTTTTTCCTTTTTTTTTTGTTATCTGCATGACACGCAATCCTCGAGATACTTGAAAGTGCGAGGGGTCAATGATTTTGGTTTTTTTACTCGTTTGTTGCAGACTTCCTGTACCATGGACCAGAATCTAGCACGTCTACGGAACCCTCACCGATATTTGAGAGAAAATCGTTTCCTGGAAGGGGAAGACCCAAGTTAGTAGTCACTGGTGGTTTTTTTCTTTTTTATTGAGCTGATGTTTGAGTGGGGCTTAATTAATGGGGATTTATTTCTAGGATGCTACAGTTGGCGCGTTATACCAGCGAGGAGACCCGTTCAAGTTTCGGGACAATCCCCAGGCCTGGCAATTCCAAGCACCAGTCGGGCACTATCAGTAGAGAGCAGGGGGATGCAGGATCAGGAAACCTGTTCGTCCCCAAGTTGGATCCACCCTCGGGCTTCTCCGACGCGCTTGAGTTAAGCGAAGCTGAGTGTGACATTGACCGTGGAAATCACACACAGCAGCATCTACGTGACTTTGTTATAGCGGTGTAAATAACTGTGCAAAACTCCCCAATGAAAAATAAAAAGAAAGAAGAGAAGAAAAAAAAAGAGACAAAGCCCGTGATATATTAACTTTAAAACACAAAACGACTAAAGAGAAAGAAAACGAAACGATAAGAATGATGAAAAAAAAACCCTTCTACCCATTCCTCCATGGAAATGAAAATCATAATAATAATAAAATTAAATGGAAAATGAAAATGTGTCACAAACATACCGATGTGTTGATGTATCTACTGTTAAACTCAAGCGGCGTTCAAACTAACGAATGAATGAATCGAATGAGAAAATTTAAAAAATGTGTTAGAATGTAAAAGATAAGAAAAATTTATCTGTAAGTTAAAAACAAATGCAATGAGCACTGTTGTTCTGTTCGACACACGTGCAACACTTTCTAATCGTAAAACAAATTTTTCCATATGTCTCGGAACAAAAATATGCCAACCCATGGTTTTTCCTGTTGATATATATTATATATATTATATATACTTTATTATTATATATGAATTATTTACCACGGAGGACAAAAACAAATTAACACTTTTGTGTTTTAGGTCAACTGTAGATTATTTACATTCTATATTTACTTTGTAAAATATACAATATTGATTGAACAATGGCCACACGAATTTATGGTAATTACTCTCCCCCCTCTTTCCTGATCGTTGATTAGCATAAATCACATTCGTGAGGGGAATATAAAATCGGGCCTGAACCTTTTCCACTTGGGGTAGTCCATCCTATTCTCATCGCGCATGATCTTTCGCAAAAAAAGGGGATGAATGCGCATGCGAAAATTACAATGTTCATTCGGCGTCGGTCACATCCACTATGAGTGGTGGTGTCTACGGTGGTGGTAAGACATATCCAATATTTTGTATACAAATAATCATCAGCAAATGTACATCTGCGGTTAATCCACGTGTGGAACAGATGAGGTCGGCGCCATTATATTTGACATTGGACATCAGAGCTTGCGGGTGGGTTATGGAGGTGAGGACAGCCCAAAAGCCGAAATTCCGACGAGCCTGGGGGTGTGGGACGACCCCACCGAATCCACCAATACACCCAAAAAAAGATACAACATTGACGTCACAGCTATACAAGTGCGACGAAAAGGTAATTAACAGATCTATAATTGTTATTTCTTCTCAGTGAAAAAATTCCGAACGACAGATTCAAAATAAAAAAAACATTCTCAATTCCACTAATCAATGTCTTTTTTTAAATTTTTTTTTATTAATTTCCTTAGACATGGAGATAGTCAGCATGATGAAAGACGGAATGATAGACGATTGGGACATGTTCGAACGTCTAGCCGAATACACATACAAACAGCGTCTCCACGCTCTCTCGGAGCACCATCCAATTCTGATGACCGAGTGTCCCTGGAATACACGAGTAAAACGTGAAAAACTCCTGGAGTTGATGTTCGAGAAGTTCAATGTTCCCGCAATGTACATCTGCAAAAATGCTGTGCTGGCAGCTTACGCTAACGGAAGATCAACTGCGATGGTCGTAGACAGCGGTGCAACACACACCAGTGCTGTTCCGGTTCATGATGGATATGTAATCACTCAGGGCATTGTAAAAAGTCCACTAGGAGGTGACTTCATTACCATGCAGTGCCGACAGTTTTTCGAGGAGAAGAGCATCGAACTGATGCCTGCCTGCTTGGTAGGCAGTAAAGGTACATGATTGTCACCATCTTCAGGAATTTTTATCCCATGTGTGGTATTTCTAGATGTCGTCAGGGAGAGGGACATCCCCCGTTGGACAAAAAAACCAGGTCCTCCCCCCACATCCACTTGGCTGAGTTACATGGTACGGGAGTTACTTCAGGATTTTCAGATGAATTGTCTTCAAGTTGCTGATTCACCTTACGACGAAGATGTTGCCAATGCCCTCCCCATGAAGCATTTTGAATTCCCCACTGGTTACAATGACGATTATGGATCTGTCAGGCTCATGATACCCGAGGCTCTATTCGATCCTAGTAATGTCAAAGGGGTTGGAGCGAGTATTCTTGGTATTGGACCACTCGTTACAACCAGTGTCGGTATGTGCGACATGGACATAAGACCTGTACGTATATATTTTTTTAAATCCACATACATTCGTTAAGATATATATCATATTATTCGATTCTAGAGTCTGTATGGAAGTGTCGTGGTAACTGGGGGCAATTCTTGCTTGCAAGGCTTTAGTGATCGCCTGAATCGAGACCTATCCAGCAAAACTCCACCGGTAAAACACAACGTTCTCCACTTTAATTTTTAAATAATCGCTTTTGATTCTTTTAATTATTACAGAGCATGAGACTGAAGATAATGAGTGCTAATAGCTCGAGCGAGAGACGATTCGGTGCGTGGATCGGGGGTTCGATATTGAGTTCATTGGGAACTTTTCAGCAAATGTGGCTGTCACGACAAGAATATGAAGAATCCGGAAAACGAATACTGGATAAATGCGCCTAAATTCAGCTATGGAAAATTCTCATTTTTAAACCCTCAAAGACTTCGTCAATTGATGGACCTCTGGATCGGGAGGAATTTAATAGACAGTGCCAAAATGAGGGTGATGCTGGTGCTCCAGGAATACTTTCATTACACATTTCAATTGATTTAGCGCGCAGGCTGTTTCGATTTCGTTGGTCTTCCTATTTTTATACAGGCGAGAGCAATTCTCGATCGCTCAATTACGACTGGTCATCAGTGGCAATCATCCACAAATAACACAATCTCAGATTGTCGCAAGCTCAAATCCCCATATCTGTATAGTTCTGTCAATGTGTATCGTAATAATGCCAAGATATGTATCAAAATGGTGATTTCCTGATAAGAATTCGTAATTGTAAGTAGAAAATGATTTGAGCAGGTGCTCATGTACCAACATATTTATTCTTTCTATAATCATAATAAAAAACACTAACAAAATTCATCCAACCACAATATCACGAGGGAATTTTCACCCGAGATTATTCACTCATCATCCAAAATCATTCACTGATCCATCTCGATCTCAATCATGACGTCTCATCCACTCACCGATTAATTACGCGCAATGAAATGTCTTTGATACTCAGAAAAAAATCCTGCACGG